TGTATCTATTTGATTTGTCTATTGATTTTTTTATTAAAATTCTCATTTAATAAACAAAAATATTAGTAGAAAAGTAAAAGAAAAAAAATTGTAAGTTTGTTTGGTTTTTTTTTACTATGAAATTCAAACTAAATAAAATAATTCAAACGGATAGATTGAAACATAAATGACTTACTATCGATCGACACTAAATAATGTTTTAATGGAAATTTTCAAAGGATTTAAGTATCAACTAACAATTTACGACAAAAAAAGCAATAAATGATTCATTCTATTTACTCTCAAAAAAAAAATCACATGCATAACGTTCATCAATATTTATCAGGTCATGTTTATATAAAATTACAAGTTTAAAATCTCTAATTGAAGTGTATTTTTTTTCCTGTAAACGAACTTTTTCAATTATTTTTTTTTTGAAACAGTAAAAAGATCAAACATTGTTTCCGTTTCCAAAGTAAAAAGCAAAGTAACTAGAATCTTTTATTCAAACTGATTTAGCTGTGAATTTATCAATTTTATGAAATGAATAAAATGTTTATCGTAATCTTCTTTTATTTTTGTTGCTAGTGAACTTTCTATATTCATATTGAAGAAAAACAGTGCAGTGTCAGACTCAACAAGATATATAAAGAGATTAATATTAAAATAACATCCATATATAAATCTTTTATTAAAAGCGTTTTTATTAGTAGAAATTTTTCATAAAAATTATAAGGACAATATCATTTTATCGAAGGAGGTTTGCAATTTTTGTTTAAATCTTGTTCATATTCCATAGATTCACTTACACTTTCTAGCATAATAAAAAAACCCATTTATATATGTGTAATGAGAAAAAAAATGTGATTCATTAATTTATTTGTTATTACTACTAAGATTTTTTTACAGACTCAAATATTTAATCTATACATAATTTTATTTATAAAAATTCAGAGATATTTTTCAATGAACGAAATTGACGTACTACGAGAATAAAATTCTTTTTTCTAATTATTATCAATAGAAAACATGTAGTTCAAAATACATGTTAAAATAAAACTATATTTGAAGAATGTATGTTTTCTTTTTTATGTAATGCCTCTTTCTTCACATGTAATCAAAAAGAAAACAATATCGAATTTTTATAAAAAAATTAAATACTATGAAAACAAAATGGTGGAATTGTTATATCTGTCGAATAATTTTTATACGAGAGAAACACAATGAGAAATACATGAATATATTCATCAAATGTTGTACTATTATCATTATTGTCTCTTGGTTTGATCCTTATTAAAGCTCAGAAAATACTTCATTTCATTCTATTCAAATGACATTACTTCATAGATAGTGCTTTGTCAGGTAACCTAGAAGTAGTTACCTCCTTCATTCACGAATATTAAAACATTCATGAATGATTCAACTATTCGAATCGATTTTATCAACAAAATCTACTTTGAAAGGTCTCTAACAAGCAAAACAATTATTTTCATCATTCAATTAAGGCAAACTGATAACGAAAACAACAAGACATAAATCAATTATGTTAAAATGTTTAAAGAGCAGAAATATGATATACTGCATCATCAGGAAACTATTTTGAGATGAATTCATGACTGTTGAAGCATGTAGATGAGCATTTACTTATCACGAAATGATTAACTTTTTCATTGTATAATACTATAACTCATAGTTTATTGCATATGTTTTAGAAATAAATGCTCTAGATGTGTCAATCTTTTAGCTTTTGATAATTTTTTTGCAAAATTTATGCATCAAGATTGAAAATGATAGTAAGTTTAATGAATTCAATGAATCAGTTTTTATAACTAAAGGAGAAGTTTTGATGAAAAACAAAATTTGAATTGATAAAATAACTTATCTTATATATATATAGATCCTTATATCAAGATGAATCATATAAAAAAATATCTTTCGATTCATTGATCAATATTATGTTTCGAAGCAATTTTATGAATAAGTACACTTGAGAAATTATTCACTATGTTAAAATTAAAGTTTCTTAAATTTTTCATAAAAGGAAAACAAAAACAAAAACAATAAGTGATGATATCACTTCACATTTCCTTTTATTTAGTTTCAATTTATTTGTACATATTTGTATAATAGAAAAGTCTGTCTTCCCACCGAATTCCAGCGTCGGATCAATGATTCTAGATTGCTCTCACATGTATAGAGAGATGTCAATTTTTGTTTAATCATTTTGAAGACGATATTTTAAAAATAAAAATCCTATGACATAAGATGAAAGAAAAATAAATGAAAAATAAAAGAATATTAAAAAAAATTATTTTCATTTATCATTCAGAATAGAGGAGTCTAAAAAGAAAAAAACTATTATTTTCAAACTTAATCTTCAATTTAACCGAATGAATTCATCATTGTATGATAAAAAGAAACACATATATAAAATATTGCAGATAAATTTTGAAATATAATTAAAGGTTTTGTTCTCATCGTTGATTTCTCTAAATGTAAGTGTTCGACCCACACAGTGTATAAGATAAAAATTTTTTTTCGTCAACGACGATATGATATTGATGTACGTCAGACGAGAATAAAAATATACACATATCACTACCTAAAAATTGATCATCAAATCAATGATGTAGTGTTATACGTTGAATAATTGATAAGAAAATCAATCAAAATCATGAGCATCGATCAATTAACCTGAGGGTGTATAAAAACATGAATACATCATCATGAAACAATACACTCGCGTTGTATCATTACAATGTATTTATATACCCGGACTAATTATTATTATGATATTATTTACAATGATAATGATACATTGTATTATATTTAAGGTAAATTAATTCATTTTATATTTAAAATTATACTTTTCTTTTTTTAGATGAGCTACGATACGATATAACATTGAGAGGTAGGAGAAAAAAAATTTTTTTACATGTTGAGTTGAGTTGAGATAACTTATTTTGAGAGAAAATAAACACTGTCAGTCATTATGAGTATAAGTATGAGTACGTTTGAGATGAGATGAGTTGAGTTATAGATGTTATCAGTGTGGGTCAGAGAGCTATGTTGTCTGACTCAATAGGCAGAGGAACTTTCTTGCCATAGCGAAGCAGTGTAGTACTAGGGAAGGCCTCTATGAGTCGTTGGTCCCTACCGTTCATACGGCATACCTTCGGCCATTGCCCTACAAGTCCGGCATGGTCCGTCTGTGGTACCTATGGCATTGACAAGGGATCTCCCTTGTCGCGCCCGCGCGAATAAGCCAAAATGAGCCGAGAAAAATCGGAACGATTAGCAATGTGAATAAATTTATTGAGCAAGCGAAAAGAAAAAATTACTGTTACATTTCCTTTTTTACATTGTCAATTGAGTTTTTGACTGTTTTAATATTAGGATGGTTAGGTGGAAGTGATTTTTGCAAGATAGAAAGTGCCTTTTCTAAGAATGAGAGTGCTTTTGAGTAGTCTCCTTTGCCGAAATATGCAGTACCAATGTTGTTGTAGGAAGCAGCCAAATTGGGATGATTCGCAGGCAGAGCGTTTTCGTTGATTTTATGTGATTTTTCGTAAAATTCAAGTGCTTTTGAGTAGTCACCCATGTTGTCATATACTGCACCGATGTTGTTGTAGGAACGAGCCAATGAGAGATGATTCGGAGGCAGAGCTTTTTCGTATATTTTATGTGCTTTTTCGTAACATTCAAGTGCTTTCGAATAATCACCCATGTCGTCATACACTGCACCGATGTTGTTGTAGGAAGTAGCCAAATCGGGATGATTCGGAGGCAGAGCTTTTTCGAATATTTTAAGTGCGTTTTCGAAAAATTCAAGTGCTTTCGAGTAGTTACCCATGTTGTTATACACTCCACCGATGTTGTTGTAGGAAGTAGCCAAATCGGGATGATTCGGAGGCAGAGCTTTTTCGAATATTTTAAGTGCGTTTTCGTAAAATTCAAGGGCTTTCGAGTAGTTACCCATGTTGTGATACACCATACCAATGTTGTTGTAGGAACTAGCCAAATGAGAATGATTTGAAGGCAGAGCTTTTTCGAGGATTTGAAGTGATTTTTCGTAAAATTCAAGTGCTTTCGAGTAGTTACCCATGTTGTCATACACTCCAGCGATGTTGTTGTAGGAAGCAGTCAGTGAAGGATGATCTGCTGGAAGAGTTTTTCGATTGATCTCGAGGGATTTTTCGTGAAATGATGCTGCTTCGTCGTATAATCCTTGATGATCTTTCAGCACTGCAAGATTGTTGTAAATTATAGCTCTAGTATCGTTGTTGGATATTTGTTCGAGTAGTGTGATATACAATTTCTCGGCCTTGTTATATTGTCCTATTTTTAATAGCAATGTAGCCAATCGTTCCCACCATGGCTGATGTGAATCTTCTCCTAGTATGCTTTCTGTGAGTTGACGCAATTGCTGATCGTCATCTGACGTCAGTTTAAGTTCTACTTGATATAGTAAACTTTCATTGTCAAGTTTTCGAATTTCACCAATTCGAAAAACGGTGTGCATAGAGAAGAGGATTTCATTTTCGTCTGCGTAATAACTCAGTCTCCAGACAGAGGCAAATGGACTGGATAAGATGGTCGGATCTATTGACATTTGAAAAAGGATACCCACCATACTGGGTTTTCCTATGGCACCTCTGGCAAAACCGAGAGAGACAGCTCGATTTGTACTGGTGGATAAGAAATTATTGAAGGAAATAAGTCCACCTTTGTTCTTCTTGAGTTTTTCGAAGTCGACTGTGGATAATCCTTGTCCCCGAAAAACTTCAAAGATCTTTCCATGATAAAGACTGATCTGTTGTTTGTGTAAACTGTCGATTTGTCGGTGCAGATCAGCGAGAAAAAAACCCATTTTTATAATTGTCTCACCATCAAGCATTCGAAGAGACTGGTTGAGCATCTCGTAAAGAAAACACTCACGACTGTACCACCAAATTGATGATTCTGGACTATATTGAAGTTCGAACTCAGCGATATCTTTTGCTTTAGCTTTGTTATTCTTGTATTCGTTTCGCCAAAGTTCAATAAAATCCTTCTTGGCTTGTTCACCATGTTTCATATCAAGAAGAATTTCCTTGAATATTTTGGAGTACATGAATGAGGCTTCAAGCTGATTGAGATCTTTGCTGAAACCTTCTTCATTAACACTGATAATGCTTACGGATATGTCATCTTTATTGCATTGCTTGACAGCTATTTGCAATGCATCGCAGATAAGCGGAATTTCTGTGTATGGACCCTTAACTTTGTTCCAATGACTATTCCAATCCTCTTGTGTAGTTTTGCTACTGCAATTGACGTAAATGGTATCGAGTTGAGGAATATTATGGATAAAGGGTACTATTAGTTGACCCATAGTATCTGATACAATGAGAAATGCCTTTTGATTATCGACTTCAGTGAGGAAGTCAACACATTCATCACATTGTGTAAAGGTATAGACTTCATTAGCTATGCTTTGCAGTTGTTCGAGTGTATTTTGGTAATATTTATTTGCTGGATCAATGTTTTCATTCAGCCAGAGGATCAAATAATTCTGAGCGATGTACTGTGTTGGTCGCATGGTAAGCGATGGATCTGTTGTGTTTGCATGGGTACCAATTGTTGATTTGGACATATTTTTTTTTGATTTTTGTTCGTTCATATTCATTGTGAATTGTCGTTTGTTGCTCAATCGAGAATGGTGGATGGTTGTTTGTCGTTTAAACAGAGATCATTTCTTCTATTTATATAGTAGGTGCCTTCTGTTTTTTCTACGACATAAAATGTGGGCGTTTGTTTGTCGTTAACACTCAACGACAAACTTCATTGAGTTTTAAGAAAAAATATGATTGTCAACACAAAGAGCGAAAGAGAAAAAATATCGAACAGCATCATGGCTTGCATTACTATTCTTTCCAACTTTTGTTTGATTTTCATGTGTAACATGACTTAAGTGGCATTACGCTGGATACCTTGCCTCATACATCATTTTTTTTCATGATGAATTTTTTTTTCCGACAAGAACGAAAAAAGAAACAAAGACATCATTAGTTCGATTGCTTTCATTCTGCTTTTGATGGAAATCCTGATCGTGTGAACGAACAAGCAAGAAAAGGAAATTGAAGTTTGAATGAAGTAACGATCGAAAGATATTTCTACTTACCACATTTATTGCTGTTAGTTAACGAGTGGTTCAAGTAAAGAATGCTGCACATTCAGGGTGGGCCGAAAGTCACTTCATCAAGAAGAAAAGCATGAATATCTCTGTCATACTTTGACCAAATGGACTGATTTTTACACTACTAATAAGAAAGTACTCATAATTGACATTCCTACGAAAAATGCTAGAAAACACTGCTTTAAAATATTACTATTAATATGAATATAAATCTGAAATCTTTAATGAGTTATGAGAAAATAGTCTGATCCGTATGATCAAAAATAATGAACAAGAGATATTTCCAATCAACGCTTCAATCAATTCTTACTTAGTGTTTCCTGAAACTTCTAATTATTAATAACTAGATATATTCAGTGAATAATTTACAAAAAGTTATTTATTTTTTCATATTCATCAAAGTATCGTGCAGATACTCAAGTGTTTCTTCTCGATAAAATGGCTTTTGATCCACTCTCTATTGTGCTTGATCATGAGAGATATGCATCACACTTGATTGTGGATGTCGGTGAAGTTCTCACTGTAAATACATCTTCAGTCTTGCCATAGTTAGAATAGTGCATTGTTGAGTTATACGTTGTGACCTGAAAGTTTTGAAACAATGTCTTCCTTTCTGTTTTTTGGACCAATGAAAAGGATCAGTCGAAATTTTATAGAGTTGACTAAGAATCAGAATTTTGTAAGTGAATCTGTAAAAACATTAATAATAAATGTTCGCCGATTTTCAATGCATTAAAATATTTTCAGGATAGAAGAGAAAAGTTAATCTAGATTTTCTGAAGAAAAAAAGATTGTGAAGATTTCTGAACAAAATAATATCTTGATGAAAAGTTTTCTGGAAGGTAACTATTAATAATGACAGTTTTGGTAGGAGCGATCATGACGTATTCATAAGTCCTTGATTTAAAGATGTACAAAATGAGTTTAGGCATGTATGAAAGACTACTATGAGCTTTTCAATTGTTAAATCAATTTGAAGAGAACTGTCTCGTTCTTTATTTTATTCAAAATTTTGAATTAACAAAATCGATGTAGTTTGTTAGAATGATGCATAGAAACGCACCATATTTAGAATGACAAATATCAATGAATTATAACTTTTTGATCTAATTAGTGCGAAAAAATGATAGTAGGATAAAATAATTTCTGAGTAGTGTGTTTTATGATATTCTATGTTTGTAGTAAACAATAAAAGTTTCCCGACATATAGAAAAGGCTCGAGCCATTTTACCAATGTGACAAGGATAATAAGTGATCAATAAAATCATATAACTTACAGATTAGATCGCCTAATTCTAAAGAGTTTAATTTTATTTGAAAAAAATTCTTTTGAGTTAATTCAGTTTGAATTATCTATGAAAATAGCCTCACTCAATATTTTGTATCATAGCGTAAATCTCTCAAGAAGTACTTAAAATTTTTACGACTTAAAAAAGTTTGTTATGCTAAATTTACTAGAGAAATATTGAGGTAAATCAAAAACATTAACTAAAAAGTTATAGAACAGACAATGTTCAAAACATCACACTAAAAAGAGAACAGAATCGCCTTTGTTTGCAGAAAGTTTTGTTGTTTTTCTCATTAATATGTTACTAGAAGAATCTTCCTACTTTTCATTTAGTCAGCATGCCACCAGCTCTATCATTGGGAGATCTAGACTCACTTTTGGATCACTCTACACAAAAACATACACGTATCTGTCAAATAATGTTGTCATTGAATAAAGAAATAAAATTTCAATCAGTTATATTTTTGATAGAACATCAAATGCTTTGTTTTTTTTTTGTAATAAGTCTCTCATAATTCAAGGACAGTTGTGAGCTAATAGGCAACTGAAATTGGATGTGACAGTGGAGCGCGCAAAAAGAAATAAAATTTTTTAAAAATAATGATTCAAATCGTTTGATCAAAATAAAAGATTATTTTCTAGCTTTTGATTCGTTTTAATAAAAATTTGAAGTAATATTCAGTTGATAAATCATTGATTTTTTCGTTGAGTGATTTTTGTTTAAATTCTAAAGATTATGTGACAAAAACGTCAAGAAGTAGACGAAGCTTTTTTTTGATGATTTGAATTGTTTTTGTGAAAAAGTTCGCTTAGATCGATTGAAATCACATTTGTCATTTAATGGAGAAAATCATCGAACAAGTTTCGACTATAATATAGAGTCATAAAATGGATATTTTATTGAACACAGCTGAAATTTCTTCAGAAAAAAATTATGAAAAATAAATTGATGTCCATCTTTTGTTGTGAAAATTAAAATTTGTTCATCGATTGATCAATATGTAACTGAACAAATTGAACCAAAACATAATAACGGGCGCGGCAGAATAAATGGCCACCTCAGTATTTTATCTCTAACTCTGTTTTTCTTTCATCCAAATGACATGATTTTATCATAGAAAGATGCATCGTGAAATTCTCTACAAAGTGACCTATTTTATCTTGGCTAAATACCGTTCGTCGTACTTTAAATCGAAATGGTTTCACTTGGAAAAAAGATGAGTACTTTCCAAAAATAGTTATTTTATAGTTTTTCCTAATATCGCTTTATTTGCCATATCTTAGTGACCTTTGTTGAAATAACATTTTAATTTCGATAATTACCGATTCAACTCAAGTAGGAAAGCCTAGGCATCGCTGAAGTATCGGTAAACCCAGATTGCTTCTCAACTAAAACAAACTATCAACGAAAGTTACTAAGAAATGGCAAATAAAGCGATATTAGGAAAAACTATAAAATAACTATTTTTGGAAAGTACTCATCATTTTTCCAAGTGAAACCATTTCGATTTAAAGTACGACAAACGGTATTTAACCAATATAAAATAGGCCACTTTGTAGAGAATTTCATGGTGCATCTTTCTATAATAAAATCAGATCTTTTGGATGAAAGAGAAACAGAGTTAGAGATAAAATACTG